GCAAGAGACGAAAAATTAGAAGAAGTGGTCGATTTTAGGTATCTAGGAAGTCAGATAAGTCATAACGGAAGAAATAGTAGGGATATAAAGCAGAGGATAGGGCAGGGTCGAGCCGTCTTCAATAAAAAGAAGTCATTTCTGTGCTCGCGAATGGTTAATTTAGAAATTCGAAAAAGGTTGTTAAAGGTGTATTCTTTGAGCGCGGCGCTGCACGGGTGCGAAACATGGCCGGTTGGGGCGGCGAAAAATAAAAGGTTCTAAGCGTTTGAAATGTGGTGTTAGAATCGAATGATAAGGATACCGTGGATAAAGAAGGTTAGAAATGAAGAGGTATTGGAGAGAATAGGACAAAAGAGAAAAGCCAATAAAAAATAGGCGAGATAAGTTGGTAGGACACCTTCTCAGACATGAAGGACTAGTTAGAGACATATTAGAGGCAGAAACAGGAGCTAGGAGGGGTAGAGGTAGACGTATATTAGATTACTCTTCGCAAATAGTTGTGGGTGTGGGTTGTTCTAGTTTTAGGGAAATGTGAAGATTAGTTCACGATAGGAAATACTGGAAGTGCGTGTTTAACTAGTCTTAGAACTGATGATGTTATAATGATGATTAATCTTATCGAATCTTATAGAATGTGCTGCATGATATAAAACACCTAATACCATGATCAGACTTAATAATTTGTCAGTCATATACACGTTTTGGTAGAAAATATGAAACTTGTGGCACAGTAAAGTAGTTTCTTCATATTATTGCCCCATACGAATGGACATTAACAATAAAACAATTCTGATGAAAGTTGCCGGATAAATGACATGATTGTCGGTCTTTCACTGAATGTGAAATATTAGTTTTAAAATAAAAAAAAACTAATAATTTTTAACTACTTTTTAATTCTCAACAACTTTATTTATAAAGATTTCTGATATTTGCAAAAATAAAAGTACTTTACTGTCCCATAAGCTTCATACTTCATGACCGACAAATTATTAAGTCTGATCATGTCATTATGTATTTTAAANTGCGTTTCAGATGTCAGAATTTCAAAAACTCTTCCTGGGACTCTTTTTTATTCTTTAGTGTTAGATTTGCAGATGATATAGTAGTATTAGCATCTACCAAGGAAAAGTTAGAGATAGCTTTAAATAAAATGGAAGCGGTATTGACAAAATAGTACTGTATGAAAATAAATAATAATAAAACAAAAATACGGGTATGCAAGAGACGAAAAATTAGAAGAAGTGGTCGATTTTAGGTATCTAGGAAGTCAGATAAGTCATAACGGAAGAAATAGTAGGGATATAAAGCAGAGGATAGGGCAGGGTCGAGCCGTCTTCAATAAAAAGAAGTCATTTCTGTGCTCGCGAATGGTTAATTTAGAAATTCGAAAAAGGTTGTTAAAGGTGTATTCTTTGAGCGCGGCGCTGCACGGGTGCGAAACATGGCCGGTTGGGGCGGCGAAAAATAAAAGGTTCTAAGCGTTTGAAATGTGGTGTTAGAATCGAATGATAAGGATACCGTGGATAAAGAAGGTTAGAAATGAAGAGGTATTGGAGAGAATAGGACAAAAGAGAAAAGCCAATAAAAAATAGGCGAGATAAGTTGGTAGGACACCTTCTCAGACATGAAGGACTAGTTAGAGACATATTAGAGGCAGAAACAGGAGCTAGGAGGGGTAGAGGTAGACGTATATTAGATTACTCTTCGCAAATAGTTGTGGGTGTGGGTTGTTCTAGTTTTAGGGAAATGTGAAGATTAGTTCACGATAGGAAATACTGGAAGTGCGTGTTTAACTAGTCTTAGAACTGATGATGTTATAATGATGATTAATCTTATCGAATCTTATAGAATGTGCTGCATGATATAAAACACCTAATACCATGATCAGACTTAATAATTTGTCAGTCATATACACGTTTTGGTAGAAAATATGAAACTTGTGGCACAGTAAAGTAGTTTCTTCATATTATTGCCCCATACGAATGGACATTAACAATAAAACAATTCTGATGAAAGTTGCCGGATAAATGACATGATTGTCGGTCTTTCACTGAATGTGAAATATTAGTTTTAAAATAAAAAAAAACTAATAATTTTTAACTACTTTTTAATTCTCAACAACTTTATTTATAAAGATTTCTGATATTTGCAAAAATAAAAGTACTTTACTGTCCCATAAGCTTCATACTTCATGACCGACAAATTATTAAGTCTGATCATGTCATTATGTATTTTAAACCATGCAGGACTTCTTATAAAGAGTAACTTTAATTCATAACAATCATAGTAAAATACTTTTCCTTTTGCTGCCAAATTAAATAGACACGCTGTATATGTAGCTATTCTTTAAATCTAACAAACGGATTTATGGTCTTTGGAAATATTTCACTTCGTGCAATAAAATATTTTATACAAATATTTGAAAGAAGAGACTTCCTTTCGTTCCTTATGCTTAATACTACATGACAATTGCATTTACGATACATGTATGTATAGATGGATTATACTTTATATAGTAATGTAATACGTTTCAGTTTTATAAATTGCGTAGGCATCTATTCATTTTTACCTTAGAGATTATCTTATCATCTAGATGATGATCCTTGAAAGCAAAATATTGAAAAGCACACGTGCCTTAAGTGCCCTACAAAATGCAGAATAAGCATCT